CGAGCTCCCGTAATGGTTTCGTTCGGTTTGAGCAGCTCATAATAAACTACACCCGGCTGATCCCACCAAATGCAGAGTAGAAGCTTCGAATCATGGATATTCGGCTTTGCCGACGATGTTGCTGCATGGCCGACCTTACCCCACGATCTTCTACGCTTAGGGTTGTCGTAGTATATCAACTTTTCATCGCCAGTCACGAGACGATGCAAAAACCCTTTCCTTTTCTGCCGTTGAAGCAGCTGTTCATACGTGAAAAGATGCCGTTCAACGTCTCTCGGCTTCAACTCGTACGGCACGCAATGTCCTTGCTTTTGAATCATTCCTAATAATTTCAAACGTTTCGAAACTGTTGTGTAATCAACTCCTGATTCTGCAAGTTCAGCTAGCATCTGACATGAGTCTTCATGCAGTAATGCCTCCAATTCTTCGTCTTCAAACTTTTTCGGTGCGCCAGAGCATCCTTTACCTTCAACATAAAAATCATTATTTTTGAAGCGTCTAAACCAATCTCTGCATGTTGTTTCCGACAGAGTATAGTCGCCGTAAGTCTCAACAAGGATTCTGTGTGCTTCAGCTGCAGATTTTTTTAAATAAAGTAGTGCAGTAAAATTCCCCGCAAATACTCTTTTATTGGCACGAAATTCGACATGTTTAACACTATGAAACAAAAAGTTGTTTACACTTCGGCGAGATGATATACACTGAACTTCAAGTATGTTTACCATAGTTCCTTATCGATGTGTTCCGATCTTCAACTACACGCACGCAGTTCTGTTAACGCGATTTGTTGGAAAACAGCGACAACTTATTCAAGGTCCTAATATTTATAAAGATTTCTGAAAAAATATCTTAAACTCCTTTAAATTTTATGAAGTTTTTTTCGGAAATTTATAGAAAGAGAAATTTTAGAATATTTGAGAATTCACATTTACAGGGTAAAGCACTACCTATAACTTAAAAAACTTGCAGATCTGTAAATTATACGTCGTATGATTTTAAGGAATTTAATATACATAATACTTTAACATTTCTAAGATTTCTCATTCCATAATTTCCGATGAAAACATGAATCTGAATAGATAATGTATATTGTTTAAAAAATCTTTATAAAAATACAAAAATTCTTAGAAATGTTATAAGATACAATGAGAATTTTTTTCAGAGTGATTTTGCTATAATACATAAAAATGGCAGAAATATAGAATACCTAAAATTACATTTGATCAAGATAAGTTATATAAAATACTCAAGCATGATGATGATGCCGTAAAAAGTTGTAACATTATAGTAATCAGATTATGCATTCAATATAATTACTTAGATAGTTCAATAAAATTATTTTTAAAACTGTATCTATAACTAAATTTTTAGATACTTCAGCAGAATAGTTCTTTCTGTGCAATTAAATTAGCTGAAGTCGTTTTATTACCATTTGTAATGCTTCCATAACTATTTTATTTATGTGTTGGATGATATTTTCCGAATCAAATTTTGTCTTTTAGAGCCCATTTATGTTGTAAATTATTTGAAATTATCAACGTCCGACGCTTTACAGAACGAGATAACTTTCGAAAGTAATAAGATTTTATATTTTATATAAACAATGAGGAGGATTAATAAAAGAGAATATTATTTCAAAGAATTGTGTTTGTTTGCAGTGAACATAAATGCGTGGCTTGAATCGAAGTTTGGTCGATTGCAATGCGATCCATATTTTTCTGAATATGTGAAATTCTTTAAACGTATGCTCTTAGCAAAGGAATCAAAAGATGTGTTAGTGAAGCCTCTAAAAAAAATGTTATTTAAAATAATTCATCCCATTTATTAAATAAACAAATTCTTATATGAAATAACTTACAATACACAGCCCAACAACAGAAAGAGATACAGATCAAAATATCCAATACGTTCTCTCACGTGCAAAGATGTATTCGTGG